CACACAGACACACACACATGTGCATGCACATACATGTTCATACACACACATGCAGAGCGGTTCACATAGACACACAAGCCTGTGGATGTGGCACTTCACACGATGAGGAGGAGGTTCCGTCCTTAGTCCTCAGGCTCCGCCCTTAACCTTCACTCTGACCCAGAAGCCCATGTGGACTTTGAACCGGAATCTGATTCTATTCCCCACCCTGAGCCAGCCAGCGGAGGGCTTGGGACCCGCAAACGTCTGCCTGCATCACCTGCAGGAATCAGAGCCCCCAGGGAGTAAAGGGGCCTGGACAGCACACTTTCCTGGCTGAAGAGTGGATGACGGCAGGTGGTGAAGGCAGGAGAGTGGCGTTCTCCCCTGGCATGGGCACGGGGCACTGCCATCGGGGCAGCAGTCTGGAGGAGGCACTGCCCTCTCTGCCCAGTGGCCACCCAGCAGCCACAGGCCAGGCGGACCCCCGCCCTCCTCAAGACATGCGGTTTTCTCTGCACTCCTTCGGCGGGGGGGGGCAGCAGCTATTCATGTCCTGGGGCAGAGGCATGGGGGCCTTTGGGGAGAATCCCTCTTTGGGGAGCATCCCTCTTTCGGGAGAATCCTTTGGGGAGAATCCTTGGAGGGGCATCCATCTTCCGGAGCCTCTCCTGCAGCTCCCTCGGCTGAGCGCTGCGCCTGCAAGAATCAGCACGGCCACCGGAGGGCGCGCGGGGCCCACCGTGGGACGCGGTTAGAGGCGCTGCCCCGGCGCTGCTCAAAAGCCCAACCAGCGGATTCCGGCTCCACCCTGCAACCTGGCGGGTGTAGCGGAGCCCCTGCCAGAGCTGTGTAAACACGAGCAACCGGGCAGACAGAGATGTTTTCCAGTCCCCAGGGAGTGACCCCAACGCCGGGACCTCCCGAGGTGGGGAAGGTGGGGAGGATGCTGGGGGGCCTGAACCGTGTGCTCAGCCCAGGGTGGTCCGAGCCCCACAGCCCGCGGGGTTGAGTTGCAGCCCTGGGGAGCCCAAGACTAAAGGAGCCAATGGCCCTACAGAAAAACCAGGGACCAGCCGTGCAGTGCAGTTAGGGAACAAGACAAGGAGGACATTGGCAGGACTCTGGACACACCCAGAACGTCCTGGCTCCATGGAGAGTGGTCCCCAGAGGAGAGGGGCAGAGGAGCAGGATGGACGGTCCTCATCTAGGTTCCCCCCATGTCTGGGATGCTTCTGTGATGGGAAACCAACTTACGGGCACCCTTCCTGCACCAAACAGTACCCAGCACTCGGCAGATGCCATCCACGTGGACCTTCAGCTCTCCTCCCCCTACCCTTCTCCCCCCACTCTGTGTGGACAGCATCAGTAGGGTCCACTGCCCTGTGACTTCCAGTTGGGTTCGGCCAATAGGGAGCGCCAACAAACGGTGAGCCGGAAGGAGGAGACGGACTTCAAGGAGGCTGCCTGCAGCCTAGACATGAGGCCTGGCTCGGTGACCTGTCTGGCCACAGCACTGCCTTTGGAGAAGACCAGCCGCCCTGGCCACGCCGCGGGCCAGCAGGCCCATCGCCCCGGAGGGGCTTCGGTACGAGACCACTCAGCCCAGGGCCTCGTCAGCACTCGACACCCTCACGTGTTCAGTCAGTCAACAAACACCCGCTGATGCTCCCTGTGTCCAGTCCTGGGTACCCCAAGACACAGAGATAAGCCAGACAAACGCTCTGCCCACGTGGGCCTCACGTGGTTTTGGTTTTGGTTTTGTTGGTGGAGGGAGAGGGGCACAGACGAGGAAACTAACAGTGAATCGCAGGGGCTGAGGACACACACAGAAGGGGGAGCTGACTTGGTCAGACAAGGGGTGGGGCTGGGTGTCTGGGAGGACGGCAGTGTTCCAGCAGAGGAGATAAAACAAGCAAAACCTGGGTAAAGGAATGGCTAGTTCACACGCGGACCTGTGCCGGCCAAGCACGCTGCTCCCTGCCAGGCTTCGTTCCATGCTGTGTATTGGCTGGTGTGGTTCACTTTTGTCCTAGGGCATAACTCTTATTCCTAGGATGTGACCCTCTCTTCTAGGATGTGACCTATCTGGGGACTCAGCCCAGAGTCCTTTGGTAAACCTACATACTTACCAAGGTCTCTCCACCTCGACAGACCTTGAATTCTAACTTGTCTCCCCAGCACTTGATGGCTGCTAAAGGTTCCTCAGTTCTTTAGCCTCCAACCACTGTTGAAAAGTAGGCCAATATGGCCAGGCACAGGGGACCACACCTGTAATCTTGGCACTCTGGGAGGCCCAGGCAGGAGGATTGCTTAGGCCAGGAATTTGAGACCAGCCTAGGCCAGGAATTCGAGACCAGCCTGAACAAGAGCAAGCCCCTGTCTGTACAAAAAATAGAAAAAGCCAGGCATGGGGAGATGTACCTGTAGTCCCAGCTACTTGGAGGCTGAGGCATGAGGATCCCTAGAGCCCAGGAGTTTGAGGCTGCAGTGAGCTGTGATGACACCACTGTGCTCCAGCCTGGATGACAGAGCAAGGCCCTGTCTCAAAAATAAAATAAAGCTAAAATTAAATTAAATAATAAAAAAAATTAAAGTGGGCCAATAAATTCAGAGGAATTTGTATGTAATTGTTAAGCTCCTTCTCTGTTGTTTTCTCCTTTCTGGAATTTTCCCTCTTAATTTCCAGGCTCTTTGGCATCCCTGAACCCTGATCTCTGTATCCTCAGTCTGCTAAGACTGATACTTTCTTGGTGGGCGCGGTGGCTCACGCCTGTAATCCTAGCACTCTGGGAGGCCGAGACGGGCGGATTGCTCGAGGTCAGGAGTTCGAGACCAGCCTGAGCAAGGGCGAGACCCCATCTCTACTATAAATAGAAATAAATTAATTGGCCAACTAACATATAGAGAAAAAATTAGCCGGGCATGGTGGCGCATGCCTGTAGTCCCAGCTACTTGGGAGGCTGAGGCAGGAGGATCGCTTGAGCCCAGGAGTTTGAGGTTGCTGTGAGCTGGGCTGACGCCACGGCACTCACTCTAGCCTGGGCAACAAAGCGAGACTCTGTCTCAAAAAAAAAACAACTGATACTTTCTGCCTGGTCCTTATTCCCTCGTGAAACAATGTGTGACATACCTTAGGGAAAAACCCAGGGTGAAAGTGGAACTCACTAAACACTGTTTCCTTTTCTCAAGGATCACAATCCCCCAATTATTACCTGGATTGGTTGTTCTCAAATGTCCTCAAACAGTCGTGTTGTGTATTTTGTGCAGCGCTTATTGTTATTTTGGGCAGGAAGTTTATTTAGTCTGACACAATCTCCCATGGTAGCCAGAACTGAAAGTTTTACTCCGTCCAATTCTGATGCCACATCAGGAAGAGCTGAGAAGGGGCTGTCTCAGTGACCAGCTGCTTTCAGCAGAAGCTCAGACTGTCAGATGCGTGTGGCGTCAGTTCCACATCCTAAATCAGGGCTCCCAGTGTTCCTTCTCCTTTTAATTTTTTTTCTTTCTTTCTTTCTTTTTTTCTTTGAGACAGAGTTTCACTCTGTTGCTGGTAGAGAGTGCTGTGACATCAGCCTTGCTCACAGCAACCTCAAATTCCTGGACTCAGTGATCCTCCTGCCTCATCCTCCCAGGTAGCTGGGACTACAGGCAAGCACTATCATGCCTGGCTAATTTTTCTATTTTTAGTTGTTTGGCTAATTTATTTCTATTTATAGTAGAGACCGGGGTCTCACTCAGGTTGGTCTTGTACTCCTGAGCTCAACTGATCCTCCCACCTTGGCCTCCCAGAGTGCTAGGATTACAGGTGTGAGCCACCTCGCCTGGCCTAGATAAAATATTTATAGCAACTTATTGCAGGCCTTGGACATCAAATAGCCTCTGGCCTTGCGATAAAGGAATACACAGGCGAGCTCCACTGTCACCAAAGTACTTTCCAAACTATGGAGGGAAATGACATCCAAACAGAAAGCGACGGTCTTGCTGAGTGAAGGAAACAAAGATCACAGATAGTGGGTGCTGACGTGGTTGAAATCTGTGGACAGGGTATCAAAGAAGAGGGAGCTACGTAGAGGAGGAGCTCCAGAATGCCACACAGAGGTCCACTTGCCAGACGAGATTCCATAAGGCCAAGTAGACAAAAACTTCTCTGGATCTGAGACCTAAACAAGGATTCCAGGAGTCACACAGTGTTGAAATCTGTTCTGATCAGCCAGAGTGGAAAGACTTCCTTGAACACCATGAACATTCAGTTAAGACCCTAGAAACACCACACCTTAAATAGAACTGCCCTGCCCTACAGTATGCATTGCTTAGACTCGCCTTAACAAAACCTAAACCAAGCTCTAGTAGGATCAGACTGAGCCTCTAGTAAATCTGCTGCCCAAAGAAACAAACCCAACACTCTTTAAAGGAGACAACATAATTCAAACTCTCAACAATGAAGTATCCACAATTCCCAACATACGGTCAAATATTGCCAGACATTTGAAGCAGCAGGAAAATATGATCCACAACCAAGAGAAAAAAACAGTCAACACAAATAGATCCAGAGGTAACACAGATACTGGAATTGGCAGATGAAGACCTTAAACAGCTATCATAAATATGTGCGAAATTTTTAAATTACAAAATGGACATAATAAATGAACAAATGAGCCATCTCAGCTGAGAAATGATAACTATAAAAAAGAACTAAGTGGAAATTCTAGAGCTGAAAAATACAATATACAAAATGAAAATTTTACTGGATGGACCTACAAGCAGACTGGAGACTGCAGAAGAAAAGATCAGTGATCTTGAAGTCAAGTGTATAGAAATGATCGCAATAGAAACTGAAGGACAAAAGACTGAAAATAAGAAACAGAGCCTCAGTGAGGTAACCTTGAAACAATATCAAGCAATCTAATATATATATATAATTGGAGTCCCAGAAGGAAAGGGAAAAAAATTGGGGCAAAAAAAATTTTTTTAAATAGCGACTGAAATTCTATATTTGATTTAAAAAATAATTAACTCACCATCCCAAGAAGTTTGGAGTTGTACAGCCCCAAGTAGGATGAATACAAAGGAAAACACATCCAGGCACATCATAGTCCAATATCTGAAAACCAAAGAGAACATCTTAAAAACAATGAGAGAACATAAACACATTACATAAAAGGTACAACAATAAGAATCACCATTTATTTCTCACCAGGAGTAATGCAAGCAAGAAAACAATGGAATGATATATTAAATATTAAATATGGCATGGGGGAAAAAAATCAACCTAGTATATTCTATAACCAGAGAAATTACCTTTAAAAAGTGAATGAGAAAATAAAGATATTTTGGAACTTAAAAAAAAGCTTTTCATGGGAATCTCATGTATAATAAAAAAAAGCTGAGAGAATTCATCAGTACAGGAAAGTTCTGTATTGGAAATGTTAAAGGAAGTTCTTAAGGCTGAAGGGAAATGATACCTGTTGGAAATTCAGCTCTAAATAAAGGAACAAAGACTACCATGAAATACAACAAGTAAATAGAAAATAGGGTTTCTTGTTTCTTAAATTACTTTAAAAGACAACCAATTGTTTAAAGTAAAAATAATCGCTATTATGGAGTTGATGTCATATGCAGAGGTAAATGCATAACAACACTAGCAAAAGGAGAGGAGGGGTAAATGGAAGCATATTATTACAAGGTTCTTAAATTATATAAAAAAGCAGCATTTATCCTTTGGTTATCTTTATTTTTCTTTATATTATCTTCATTTTTCTAGTTGCAAGCACAATAAAATTTATTGATATAAAATTAAAACACTAGAAACACATAATCTAGAAAAAGTAAATGTCCCAAAATACCATTTGCAGAAATAACAACTACCAACAGTTTGAAGCATATTCTCAGATATTTTTTTTATCTATATGTAACAGGAAAACATATTTAAAGTATTTATCTTGATGAAAAAGTTGTTTCTTACCCCAAGTGTCTTAGTCTGCTTAGTGTTGCTATCACAGAATACCAGAGACTGGGTAATTTATGAAGAAAAGAAATCTATTCCTCACAGTTCTGGAGGCTGAGAAGTCCATTTTCCAAGACCTCAAGGTGCCGGCATCTTTTGAAGGTCGTCTTGCTGCGTCATCCCCTGACAGAAGACAAGAGGGGGAAAAAGTGAGAGAGAAAGTGAAGGGAGCCGAGTTCATTCTTGATGAGGATGCCATTCTGGTGATAACGAACCCACTCCCACTGGCATTAATCCACTCCTGAAGGCAGAGTCCCTATGGCCTGATCACGTCATAAAGGTGCCACCTCTCAACACTGCTGCATCTGGGATTAAGTTTCCAACACATGCATTTTGGGGGACACATATAAAAGATAAGATCAAGATGATAAAAATATTAACCCATATTTCCTACCAGATTTTTTTAGTTTAAACATATGAATAGTTTATTAAAACATTCCCATTGGAAAAAATGAAATATATAATCAATCTATTTGGAATTCATTTTATACTGTGGAAAGTTATATAGTATATAGGATTCAATGTTTTTTGTAGAGATGAGAATCTTGCTGTGTTGCCCATGCTGGTCTTGAACTCTTGGCCTCAAGTGATCCTCCTGCCCTAACTTCCCAAAGTGCTGGGATGGCACCAGGCCCAATCATGAGATTTTATAATGTTAACTCAAGGTTGTAATTTGAAAAAAAAAGTCCCCAAATTGATAACAGTGTTTTAAGATACTACGGCAGCCAATTTGCTATATTGACAGGTTACATGGATCCACTATTTTCTTAAAGGTGCTATGCTGGTATTAGGATGATGGACTTTCACAAGGACTGTGGAAGCTGTCCATCTCTCTCTGGCTCCAGAACACTGTGGCTCTCTGAGGGAGAATGTGTGTGCTTCTGCTGTGGGCCAGCAATGCTTCACGCTCGAATGACCGATGTCACAGCTCTTTGTGGTCAGCTTGTCTTAATCCGTGTCCCAGCTACTTCTCAGAGCCTGCTGGTCCTGGAGTCCTGGGCAGGCCCTTCCCGACTCTCAGTGCACTTCGAGCCCAGACCCACTATTTTCTCTTCCTCTTCCCTGAGATGGGTCAGCTCCTTGTTTAATTCACGGCACATATAGGTTCTTGTTGCACATCCTTTTGGAGTAATCTTGGCTTCCTCCTGCAGCAGAGGCATGACCCCCACTGTCCTTTAGGCGAGTCTACCTTCCCATTAACATGGTGATCTCAGAGAAAACGATGATTCGACCAAGGCATCCTCTTGGTGGGCGCTCAAGTCCTGTGAGTGCTCTTGCCACGGTGGGTGGATCTGAGAGACGCACAGCGTGAGGTTCAGCCCCACGCCCACGAGGGCTCCGCCACCCACGCCCTGCTGCGGAGCCTGGGTCTGGACCGCTGTGGGCTTCGCTTTGGGAGAGGAAGTGGGAAAGGATTTAGAAAGTTCTCAGAAGCCAAGAAAATAGCCACCCAGGACTTGGGGCTGAGTCACGGGCCCTGCTCCAGTCCATTCTCCCGACTTCACAGCCCCGGATCTGGCTCTTCCGACTCTAATCCCTGTGGCCCTGCACCTGGGTTCCCAGCCTCCGGGCCAGCTGGCGGCTGGGCTCCGGTCTGCCCCGATCCCCCAGCAGCACAGGCAGCCAGGCTCACACCAGGTGGCCCCAGCTGGGCTGTCCTGTGGCCAGGCCCGGAGGTGAGGTCAGCCTGAACTGCCCCACCAGCCTGTGACTCAGTCACCACTGGGCACCGCTGGGCAGGACACTTCCCCAAGACCAATCGGTGACCAGAGGAGCTGGCACTGTGGGGAGAGGACTGCTCATAGACCAGGAGGAAGGGAAAGGATGGGGCTGGATGTCCTGAGGGAGCCTCTGCCACCTCTGCCACTCGGTGTCACCACCACCAACCACCTCAGGAGCAGGGACAGAGGGCTAATCCACACCGGCGAGAACAGGGGCTCCGAGCGAGGGTCCATCCTGAGAAGAAGAGCCAGGAGGCCTGGAATTTAAATCTCTGACGTTATTTCCAAGTGAGGCTATACAGTTCAAATGTGTATTATATAGACTTAAATGTCCGACACTGAGGCCTCAGACAGTGCCCACTTGTAAGAGGCTCTTGAAAATATCTGTCAAGGCCAGGCGGGGTGGCTCACGCCTGTAATCCTAGCACTCTGGGAGGCCAAGGTGGGTGGATCGCTCAAGGTCAGGAGTTCAAAACCAGCCTGAGCAAGAGCAAGACCCTGTCTCTACTATACATAGAAAGAAATTAATTGACCAACTAAAAATATATGGAAAAAATTAGCCGGGCATGGTGGCACATGCCTGTAGTCCCAGCTACTTGGGAGGCTGAGGCAGCAGGATTGCTTGAGCCCAGGAGATTGAGGTGTGAGCTAGGCTGATGCCACAGCACTCACTGTAGCCTGGGCAACAAAGCGAGACTCTGTCTCAAAAGAAAAAAAAGAAAATATCTGTCGAATAAACATGCAAAGCATAAATGTCATAGTTCTTGAAACACTATTTTCTTACCCCAAGCATTTCTTCCCTTTTTCTTTTACTGAAAGCCTAGACATATGGAAGCAGCCTGGGCCACTCCAGCCCTGAGTATCCCTGGGTGTCAACTCAAGTGGTCAGGAAGAGGAGGGTCCTCAAGCCCGAGGCCAGACTGTCCCAGCCAGACCAGTGCCGCACCCAGGTGTGCGGGTCTGTGGGTGTGTGGGCTCGGGCAGGGCCTGGCCCAGCTGGCCGGTGAGTGGACGCGTGTGTCTGAGGAGCCCCAGTCTCTGGATCTCTAGGCCGCGTCCATGCTTGCCTTCTCTGTCTTCCGTGTGCTGCTGGTAGAGGCTCACCTGCCCTCACAGCCCCGCATGTCTCTCTCCTAGGCTGAGAGGGGAAGGTCCTGCACCCTTCCTTGCTTTTGTCTGGGCATGGTGGCGGTCAGGCCGTGGCCGAGAGTGTCCTGGGCACAGAGTGAGCACACAGCCCACTGCTCCCTGGAGGAGCTGATTTGTGAAGCCAGGCACCTTTCCTTCCCAGAGACCAGCGTGGCCGGGCTCATGGAAGCCTCCAGCTGTGAGGGGAAGCTGGACACCTGAGAAGCCCGGGTAGGGCCTCTCTTTGGGGGCTACAGGTAGGATTGGGGCAGTGGAGCTGGGGAGGCTGGGCCATCAAGGGCAGGCCGCCTGCACCCTCCCACCTGCATGAGAGGTGGGAGGGGTGAAGCGCGGTCTCCTTGGAGGCAGGGGAGAGGCCGTCAGCGGCCTTCCTGAGGCCCCAGTCACACAACACTCGGTCACACATGGGCCTCACTGCCACCGCCAACAGCCTGTTCTGTCACTTCCCTGCCGGGGCTGGGCTGAGCTGCCTCTGGCTGCCCCACGTGTCTGCTGCCTCCCCAGCACCCTTCTCCTCCCAGGCCTCGGGCCAGGGCCTCCCCGGGCCCAGCTGGCTAAACCTGCCCCTGCCCTGCCACCTGGAGCCCCTTTGTTGGGTCCCAGAGAAGACGGGGTGTCTCTGTGAAAACAGAGACAGAGCAGGTCTGACAGGCATTGTGTGGGGAGGCAAGTACGGCTGAGACACAGCGAGGCCCTGGCGCTAGGGGTGTGGCACAAAGGCACCAACACGGGAACTAAACTCCAGACCCACCACTGGACCCTGTGTGAGCTGGGGGAGGCCACTCACTCTCCCCCGCACCCCCGGGCTCAGTTTCCCTGGTTCCGCTCTTGTGGCTGCCCTGAAACCTGGCTTGGGGCCAGCAACCAGGCCCCGGCCAGCAGAATCAGCTCTGTCCCTGTTTGGGTCCTTGGAGCCTGGCTCCTACCGGAACACCCAGCCCTCAGCCCCAGAGCAGTGTGGCCGCTTGGGGAGTCCCCCACATGCGCCCCGGTCTAGTCGACCAGGCCCAGGCACAGCAGGACTTCAGTGTTTGCTAGGGGAATGCATGGCACAAAACTCGAGCTAGACACCTTCCTCCGTGTGCCCTGCTGACCGAAGCCCAGCTCTGTTGCCTCCTTAACTGAGCCCTGTCCTCCCAGGACGCACAGGGTGGCAGCCGCAGCCCACCCCTCAGGCCACACTGTCCAGACCTTCCTTTTGGGCACTGCCTGGTTCCCCTGCCCGGGGCCGCCTCCACCTCTCCCAGAGCCCCCAGCCCCGGCTAGGGCAGGCCTAGCTTGACTCCCTGTCACTTGAAGGCCCCATTCTGGCCCTGCGGGGGGCAAACGCAGCCTGCCCCCACCCAGCTCTGCCCTATCACAGACCGCTGTCCTCTCCACCATACAGACCCCCTGGACCAACAGGCTCCCGGGCAGCCCAAGACCATGTGGCGGGAGCTGGGCCAGACAGGCACACTGACGTGGGGGCTTCTGAAGTTCTCTCTGGCTGCTCTCTGGGATCCTGGAATGGTCAGTACTGTGGCCTGGGCATTCAGCAGTTCTCCCTACCAAATATTTGGGCTCCCTGGAATCCAGGCTATCGGCTGGGGGCTGGGCCTTGAAGGAGGGTTGTACCGGCCCCAAGGAGCTGAGCCTGAATGGGGCAGACTCTGCCCAGAGACCTGTGGCCCCTGGGCCAGGGAGGAGCCGGTCAGCATCTGAGCTCCCTGGCCAGCCCCCCTGCCCCCAACCTCACAGGAAGCATCCTCAGGTGTGGGCTGCCCTGCCAGTTTCACTCCACCTCCCCACCCACACTGCTTCCGACTCTGGGGCAGTCTCCTGGGCTGTCCCTGAGGTTGACCTCTACCTCAGTCTGACGTTGTTCCTGTCCCACCCCTTCCCTTACCCCAGGCTCAGGCTCAAGGGCATCTCCCAAGGGTGTCTGTCCTGCTGGGGCCTGCCGGCCCTGCCTGCCCATCAAGGAAAGGGCATTGTGGTTTCCCCCGACCTTGCACAGGCCTGGCTGCACACGGAGGGCCTGGGCACCGTGCCCTGAGCCGCCGTCCTCACCATCCTGAGCCTCCTCACACCCTCCCTGCCATTCTCTGGGTCATATCCAAGGGATGAGCTAAGATAACAATTCTAGGGACAGTGATAGTGTTGTTGATAGTAAGTGTTTTTGAACAACTTCCGTGTGCCAGGCTCTCCACTGGGTGCTGGGGAAACATAAATAAACGAGACAGCCACAGCCCCTGTCCTCACGGCCGCCTCAAC